AGAGTTGTCTTACTGATTATAAGACATATCACCATGTCAAACATTAAAGTGTAGAACAAAAAATGTACATATTAGAATCAAAAACTCATTGATCTCATAAAGGACTTATAATAAGCCTTTGCAGGAGAATTTTAAATTTTCAATTCATAAGGTCTGTGATGAATAATAATAAAAATGACAAAGCTAGTCAAATAACTATAATACAAGCTAGGATCTCATTTAGATAAACTGCTTTGGAATTCAGAGAGGAAGGTGAAATTAGTTCCCGCTTAGCAGGAAGAATAAGAGAAGACAGAGACCAGAGGAAGGGCTGAGGGAAAGGGGCCAACCAAAAGCAAACCTAAGGAATGGTTATGATTGATAGAGCCATGTCTGGGAGGAGATGGACAACTCATTCTTAAGAATCAATATGTCTTTATCTCATTATTGACAAGAAAGAAGAGTCATTAGAAATGTCTTAAGAATTATGTCTTTCTCTTAACAATTAACAGGAATGAAGAGGTAAAAATTTTCAAGAAACCTTAGGCTGAAAAGAAAGACCTGGAGACAGAGCAGATTAGCTGGACTTGGTGAACCAGGATGGGAGACAAGGGTCCATTGAAAGTGAGGAAACGGACATATGCAAGGGGTTTGGAATAGGTGCCATGGGAAACGTAATAAGGAGTAAGGCAGAAGACTTCACCTCAGTAGTAAGCACCCAGCTGCACCAAATTAAGTGAACTTTGAATGGAACTCATCAAACCAGGCTCACAACTTTCTCTACCAAAGTTCAGAACAGAAATAGGAAAAAAGATAAATTTTGGGATTTACTCTGAAAATTAGAATGAGGGAATTGAGGGCTGTAAAAGCATTTCTGAAATGTCCAGCCATTGAATCCCAAATTTTGCAGCATTACTAAAATTTAATTGATTTGATCATTATAAAAATAGATTAATAGTCATATACTTATCAAAGACCCTCACACCTATTACCTCATTTCATCTTCCCAATAGATCTGAGATATTTTTATATGGAAAAAGACTTCAAAAGACTGAATCTCAGACAGCCCAGTAGTTCCTGACCCAAAGTCATTCAACACTAAATCTGCTACTTTTCCTGCTACACCATCTCTGCTTCCTGCTGCATAATTACCCCTTCACAGCTTGAATCAGTTGCCAAGTGGTCTGTCCTGGTATCAAACCAAATGCTAGTGAAGGCTCACTTCAATCCCACTTTCCCTTCAGCCAGTTTCAAGGTCTTATATTAGGAAGTGACTCAACCTTTTAAACTTAAATATCTTAAACTGACAACATGACAGGAAAATGAAAAGGGGAATATAAAAAAGAGTACTAATAAAATAATAATTTAAAAGATTAACATTCAATCTTTACAATGTGTCTAAAACTTATTCATAATTGAGATGAGTAGCAGATACTGCACTTGCTTAAGGCAAGCCAGGCAAAACCTTTGATGTGGTCTCTACAGCTAAGTTCTCAAAGTGCACAAGCAATTTCAGTGACTTTTTTCTCTGTTAAAACTGCAATTAGAAACACTCCAAATGTCCACCAACTAATAAATTAATACATAAAATATATATCCATACAGTGGAATGATATTCCATGATAAAAAGGGATACAGTCCTGAAATATGACACAGCATAGATGAACCTTGAAAACATTATGCTAAGTCAAAGAAGTCAGTCATGAAAGACCACGTATTATGTGATTCTATTCATAAGTAATGTCCAGAGTAGACAAACTTAACTCTGCATTTTGCAGAGACTGCTTAACTCCATTCATTTAGCTCTTTTTCTGGAGTTTTGATCTATTTGTTCATTTGGCCCATGTTTCTTTGTCTCCTCATTTTGGCAACCTACCAGTGTTTGTTTCTATTAGGTAAAGCTGCAATGACTCCCTGTCTTGGTAGCATGGCCTAATGTACTGGCTGTCGTGGAGGGTCCAGTCTCCCCTCTCACCCAAGCTGGGTACTCAAGGTGCACCCTTTGTGTGGGCTGAGTATACCCTCTTCTTATAGTTGAGCTTTGGTTGCTGTTGGCAGGTCAACGGGAGGGGTTTACCCAGGCCAGTCAGCTCCAAAGAACTGTGACCCTTTAACCACCAACCTCCACTGTCAGTGGAGGATCAGCTGTGCAGAGGCAGGGTGGTGGTGCTCCGACATGGTATGTAGCTGTCCACTAGGTGTGCAGGCTCTGGGGTTTCCTGGGTGGTGTAGGCCAAGGTCAGCCCCCACCTGTGTTTTGCTCGGGGCCACCCTGCCTGAGCTGTAGAGCATCTGAGATGGCTGCTCCTTGTGCTGGCTTGGAGATTTCCTTAAGCCAAGCTTTGAATCTAATCTGGCTGCCGCTAGGGCTCACTGAAGCCAGCTGTTGCCTGTTTGATATGATTTAGGAGACAAGACCAGCCATTCTTATCGAAAAGCAGCTTGCAAGGACCCATAAGTTGGGTGGGACAGAGCCTGTAGGGATCTCCAAGGCAGGTCAAACAGTGTTAGCCAGGTTGATGGGGTCTCAGATATGGCATCAGCTTCCTTATTCTGTGGGGGGAGGGTTTAGCAGAGGAGTAATGGCCTCTGCTCACCTTGATGCCAGACACTTCAGTTTCTACCTGTAAGCTACTGGTGCCTTTCAAGTTGTTACCCCAGGACTGGAGCTCTGAGGGAGTGAGTCTGAGTGGTTGAGTCTGTGTATGGGTTCTTTAAGAAGAACTGCTTGGCTGGGAACCAAAGTGTCCCAGGTTCGATTCCCAGCCAGGGTACATTCCTGGGTTGCAGGCCATAACCCCCAGCAACCGCACATTGATGTTTCTCTCTCTCTCTCTATCTCCCTCCCTTCCCTCTCTAAAAAATAAATAAATAAAATATTAAAAAAAAAAAAGAAGAAGAACTGCTTGGAGCTCCAGCAGTTTCTTCCACCAACTCAATCCCCACTGGTTTTTGCAGCCAGAAATTGTGAAGACTTATCTTCCTGGCACTGGATCATAGGCTGGGGGGACCTGGTGTAGGGCTGGGACTCTCACTCCTGAAATATCCCTCCCAAATTTTTATCAGTGTGGGTGTGGAACCAGCCCATTCCATGTCTGTGCCCCTCCTACCAGTCTAAATGGATATGGTTTCTTTAATTCCATAGTTGTCAGACTTCCATTCAATTTGATTTCGTTGTTGTCAGACTTTCATTCAGCTCGATTTCTGACATTCCTGAGTGATGGTTTTTCTATGTTTTAGTTGTAATTTTGATGTGGTTGTGCGAAGAGACGAGCCATGTCTTCCCATGCTGCCATCTTGACCGGAAGTCCAGAACAGGCAAACTTAAGTAGACTAGTGGTTGCCAGGGGCTGGCAGAGTTGGGAGGAAATGAGGAGCGAATGCTAACAGGTATGACATTTCTTTTGGGGCACATTTCATTGTGCCCCAAAAGGAAATGTGATGAATATGTTCTAAATTTGTGGTGATAGCTGCACAAGTCTGTCAACCTATTAAAAACCACTGAATTGTATACTTAAATGACTGAATTGTATGGTATATAAATTATATCTCATAAAGCTGTTACTCTGCGATTAGTAGGTCATCTGGTCATGGGTTATGGGTGTATAAATATACATATGCATAACTAAGAAAAAATGTGACAAAATGTAAAAGCTTATATTAACATTTTAAAAAATGGTTTAATAATCTTCTTCAGTGATGTCAATAAGCCTTTCTGAGGCCAATACCTCCTACAAACTCATCCTGTTTCCCACAGATAAATATACTAACTGCCATGTGTTTCCCCTTTCACTTTCTTCTATTCCCACTCTAAGTTCATAAAAATGTCCCATTTTATGTCCCAAGCATTCTAAAACATTTAAGCATCCTGTGAATATGGTTAAAAACTCTTACTCTCCTGACCTCTGGTATCCCTCCATTGTTACCTTGTATTCCTATAAGACTTGCATTTAAAGATGAATACGACCCACTGGACAGGCAAGAACAGTCCCATCTAGAAAAGCTGTGCAGCATCACCCTCCTGGAGAAAACTGAAGCTACCACATGTTTCTCCCTTACTCAACTTGAGATATGTTTTTGATCTTGAAAAAATTAGGAGTGAGGTGAGATTTCCCCTTCCTAATACTAGATTCTGCGTAATTGGAACTATTTACCAGGACTCCTAAAAAAAATCAGTCTTTGGTTATGCTTTTCTTATAAAAAATTTCTTCTTAACTTGATGATTCAAATTAGACATAATCTATCAATCTAGAGCACTACACTTTAACAATTTTTAAACATTAAAAACTTTAAAATTTTTAAATATCAAGGGTCATGAAGAGAGTTTTACCACAGCATTAGGTATACAAGAACACTAAGGAAAATGTAGATATCCGAAAAAAATTGAAGAGTCTGGTCAATTACAGTAGAGAGAAACAAGAGAACACTGTATCCATTTAAAAGTTATAGAGATGATGTAGAAACATGGGTAGTATTTATCATATAAAGTGAAATGCCAGAACATAAAACGGTGTGTGTGTGTATGATAATGATTTAACACTGTGTCCTCATTTAAAAATTGTTTTAATATCTTCTAAAAAAATCAGCTGGAAAATGACTTACCTCCAAATCTCTCTTTCTTAAAGTTTCCCCATTGCTTCTATTTGTTTGATTAAATTCTTCTTGTTTTACTCTCCCTATGCACTGTCTTTCTGGTTATCACTGTTTTCTAGTATAGTTATCTTTGTCTCCTTCACTCATTGTCTTGACAAAAATTTCATTGTCTACCATACTCTTTTCCAACTCCAGAAAAAATGCCTATATAAAGGCCAAAAGGCAAAAAACAAAACCACCCTAGGACTGCATGCTCTCCCACGTCCTGCCCTGCTATCACTGTAAATGCTACAGAGCAGTAAAAGGAGCCTAAAATGGAAGGCTGAGAAACTGCATCAGCTCCAAAGTTGTTCTCTGATTATTTGTGCCTCTCTTAGCATGCCCAGGAAAGAGGCATTTCAAATAATCAACTACTGCAAGTTTCTTACCTATTGCATGAATCTGATTCTGATGAAGACAGATGGTCTTCCTGAATGTCCGTACAACTGGAACAATCATCAGGTGTATCAGGCTCTAAGGTCCCTGGGGAGTCCAGTTTTGACTGAGAGAAGTGGTTTATTACCAAGGGCATCTCTGAGAATTTCATTTTATTATCTTCCTGTTCTAAATTGAAAAGAAGAAGAAAAATAAGGAAACATTTAAAAGTACCTTAAAACCTACTACTTCTGCATATTTATTATTTCCACAATATTTAATATTCCTATTTGTATTAGTAAAGTATGTTTATTTAACATTGATTCCAAAACTCTAGTGACAGCCAGAAAATCAGAATCAACACTGTAATGGTGTCATCTAATTACATTGTCCATTCCATGTATTTCCAGATTAATTAACTGAAAAACAAAATCTCCTCTGCATCAGGAGTAGGGAGAACCTTGTAATTCTAATGTGGCTTTTATAATATTTACAGTATTAGTAATACTGTAAAGAATTCCTACATATTCAGACCAGAAAACACTGATAAACGTAAGAAACATATTAAAAAGGATTAAAGATTCAATTAGTAAAGCAATTACAATATTTGTCACTGACTACTATATGGTAATGTATCTACCTAGACATTTTTCTAAGTCTGTTACAATGAATCTAATATTCACTATTGAAAAGAAAAACTAATCAGACATATCCAATAGTTTTGTTTGACACAATACATGTCGCATTTCTATGTATCCTGTGTCATATTTTCAATTTCTGAAGTCTCTAACTGCAGATAAAGACACAAAGTTTACAAGAAGGTGACATGCAGGTATGACCAAATAGCTGCAGGTGTGAGTGCAGATAATAAAATCCATGAAGGATCCCTCAGTGCTCAGGACTCTCCCTCACATCCTGTTTCAGAGCTCAGCTGGGATCTCCACTGTGCTGTCTTTCAGATTTGGGAACTGAGTAAGTACTACACTTACTCAGGCCACGAGGGCTAATAGTATAGAACCCTTATTCATGAGTTTCACAGAGAAGCAGAGCTTTCACACATCACTCATCCATGTGCTTACAGAGGCAAGTGGCCTTTAACGAAGGACACTAAGAAAAATTGTCAAGGTTTTGTTAAAAAGAAAATTTATGGAAAAAGAATAGGGCAAATTCTTTTAAAAAATCTTTCCAAGTCCATATAGTCAGAATTTTTCCAGAAATAATGATATAAGCGTTTGTTATACTGGAGAACAGCATACATCACAAGAGTACAATTTCTAAAACTAAGCTCCTGATGTCTGGCTTTCAGTCAGCCTAATCATTTCCAGAACCAAACTGTACCCTCTAGTGTGCATCTGGGGGACGAGAAAAGAAGCTAACTAGGACAACCACCCAGGAGCTCCTCTGGTAAAGTCACCCAAAACCATGTTAAGAGGAATCAGTCATCCAGCAAACTCAGTACACCCAGGTAACTCTAACACTCAACTGGCCAGGGGGCTGCAACCACACTGACAAGCCAGAGAACAGAATCCTGCTCACCTTAAAACTGTTTTTGATTTTTGCACCTGATTTACTATCTTCTCTTACTTCCTCCTCTCTTTAGTAAGCTTGTATCAGATATATTCTCTTCTGGGAACAAGTATCATACAACAATGTGTAGGTGCTGAAAGCCAGTAATCCTCCACATCCGTCCACAGGTTTCAGCAGAGGTCTTTAAACAGAGCCCCGAACATGAGGCTCTGACATCAAACTTCCCCAAAGACACACAACAAAATAAATGAAGGTTTTACTTGACAGAACACACCTTTTTAACTTATACTCAATGAGTTAGCTTTTAACTCACTGGCACTTTAATGAGCAAGTTTATTCTAAAGAGAAAATTTTAGCACAGTTCATACATTTGTATGATGTCGTACAAAGCCCAACCTTTCAGTCAGTCTGTGACTGTCTATCTGTTTTCCTCTCTTGCACTCCCCACCTCTCCCAAACATCGACATTCACGCACAGCAATTCACCAGCAGCACACTCATCTGTGAACCCCAGAGAGAGCAATATCTATGTGCACATACACATACAGGTAATATATTATAACCCCTGCGTACAAGCAATCTCAACCAATAAACAAAAATGTTCTCCGAATCTGAGATAGTAGGCCAGATTTTCTCTGGAGCTAAACCATTTTTTAAGACTATCTTTAACAACTGCATGAACAAATCCAAGTTGTTCACAAAGACCATGGGGTATATGAGGTCTGTCCAGAAAAAGTGCAGCCATTTTTCATATAACGAGAATGGTTTGCACCACATCAACATAACCTGACAGCTAAGGAGAGTGGGCTGGAATGTGCATGCGTGAATAATGATAAACTTCATTGTATTGATCAGTGGGGGAGGTAGATACCATTGAGTGAGCATGTGTGATTAATGATGACTTCACTGAATTAGTCAGTAGGGACATAGACACTATTGAGTGAGCATGTGTACTATGTGGCTGTCACATTCAAAATGACTGAGCAAGTAGAGCAAGGAATCTGCATCAAATTTTGTGTGGAGCTTTAACACTCCTCCATAGAAACTATTCAGATGAGTCAGAAGGTCACAGCTATGGGCAGCTGGTGACTGGCAACTTCATCACGACAACATGCCTACTCATGCATCATGTCTCATGAAGAGTTTTTTAGCAAAACATCAAATCACCCAGGTGACTCAACAACCCCCTACAGCCCAGATTTGGCGCCCTGTAACTTTTGGCTTTTCCCAAAACTAAAATCTGGACAGACTTCATATACTCAGGCAGCAAACTACTAAATGACACCAGAATATAAGACAATATAAGGAATACGATAGCACCTAAAAGAGTAAAATACTTGGGAATGAATCTAACCAAGTAGGTAAAAGAGACTTGTATGCTGAAAAATACAAGTTGAAAGAAATTAAAGAAGAGATAAATAAATGAAAGATTATCTTACATTCATGAATGGAAGACTTCATATTGTTAAAATGTCAAAACTGACCAACACAATCTATAGATTCAATGCAATCCCTTTGGCATTTTCTACAGAAATAGAAAAACCCACCCTAAAATTTACATAGAATCAATCTCAAGGAACCCAGATAGCCAAAATAATCTTGAAAAGGAAGAATAAAACAGGAGGACTTCAAAATATCAACTTCAAATTTTATTACAAAGCTACAATAATTAAAACAGTATACTACTGGCATGACAGACATACAACCAATAAAACAGAGAGCACAGAATAAGCCCTCACATATATGATCAATTGACTTTTAACAAGATTGTGAAGAGCATTCAGTGGGGAAAGCACAGTCTTTTAACAAATGGTGTTCAGAAAAATGGATTATCTGCATCCAAAGGAATGAAGATGGACCCTTCCCTTACACTATATATAAAAATTAACTCAAAATGGATCATAATCTAAATGTAAGAGCTAAAACTATAAAATTCTTAGAAAAAAACAAAGGAAATTTTTATGGCATTGATTTGGCAACAACTTCGTGGATATAACAACAAAAGTACAGGCAACAGAAGGAAGAAGTTGATAAATTGGATTTCATCACAATCAAACACCTATGTGCATCAAAAGATACTAACAAGAAAGCAAAAAGACTACCCCAAAAATGTTTACATTTGCAAATCACATATAATAAGGCATTAGTATCCAGGATGTATAAAGAATTCCTAAAACTCAATCAGAAAAAGAACCAAACAACTCAATTAAAAAATACACAAAGGACTTTAACAGACATTCTCCAAAGACAAACAAAAGGGCAGATAACCATATAAAAAAGATGCTTGTCCTGGCTGGCATAGCTCAGTGGATTGAGCGCGGGCTGGGAACCAAAGTGTCCCAGGTTCGATTCCCAGCCAGGGTACATTCCTGGGTTACAGGCCATAACCCCCAGCAACTGTACATTGATGTTTCTCTCTCTCTCTCTCTCTCTCTCTCCCTCCCTCCCTCCCTCCCTTCCCTCTCTAAAAATAAATAAATAAAATCTTTAAAAAAAAAATAGAAACAGGATCAGTAGATCCATTTACCCAACAACACTTTAATAAAAAAAAAGATGCTCAACATCACTAGGCTTTAGGAAAATACAAGTCAAAATCAAAATGAGATACTACTTCATACCGACCACCATGGCTATGTAAAACATCAAATGTTGGTGACAACAGACAGAATCTGAAATTCCCAAACATCGCTGGTGGGAATGGAAAATGGTTTAATCAATGTGGAAAATAGTGTGGCAATCTTTCAAAAGGTAAACAGAATTAGCATATGAACTGGAAATTCCACTCCAGTGGAATTCCACTCTCTAGGTATAGAGCCAAGAGAATGGAAAACAGAGACTTGGAGAGGTATTTAAAAACCAATGTTTATAGCAGCATTACTCACAAATGCCAAAAGGTGAAAATAACCCATTCCAGATGAATGGATAAACAAAATGTGCCATATACATACAACAGAGTATTAGTTAGCCATAAAAAGTAATGAAATTTTAATAGATGCCATAACTTGAGTACCCTGAAACCATTATGCTTAATGAAATAAGCTAACACAGAAGAACAAGTATTATATGGTTCCACCTATATGAGATACCTAGAATAACAAATTCATACACAAAAAGTATAATTCAAAAAACAACAGGGGTTGAAGGGAGAGGAGGGAGGAAAGGAGTTATTATTTAATGGGTACAGAGTTTTCACTGGAGATGAAGAAAAAGTTTTGGGTATAGGTAGTGGTGACGGTTATATTGTGAATGTATTTAATGCCACTCAACTGTATATTTATAAAAGGTTAAAATAATAAATCTTATGTACATTTTACCACAATAAAAAAAATAACAGGAAATTTTCTTGTGCACTTCCCTCCATTATGATTCTGTTTTATTTACTGTCCCAAAGTCCTGGCAATAGAAATATAGTATTAATCTAAAATTAAAATGGGTTGAAATTAAGAAATATGCTATGTATTGCCATACCAAGTGTATTAGCTTTAGATTTTCTTAGCAGAACATTCCCTCCAAAATAAATACCAGTGACCTGTAACAAAAATAATTTATTCTCTTTGCAAGATCCACAGCAATATTTCCCACACCTAGAAAACATCTTCAAGTTTAAAGAACTAAGAAATGTCTGATTCATTATTAACCAAAACGAAGACAGATGTTAGAAACTGTGTCTTAGGACATCCTCCCAGTCTTTTTCCCCAGAGTTATGAACTCGGTTCACTTTCAACAACTGCTATACGTCTAAAAATACTTCCCATTTCAAATATCTACTGAGTCCAAAGTAAATTCCTTTGGTTTAATTTTTTATATTAAAATAAATTAGTGAAATTCAACATCATTTGTTTTTAATTAAAGTCTCTTACCCATGCATACAGAGAATAGTGTTTCTGTAGATTCATCTTCTTTTTTGGTTACTTTTTTTTTTGACATTTCAATAGTTTTCTTATATCCTTTTTTGGCTTGATCCACCAGAAGCTGAAATTCATTCTGATGTTTTTTACCTGAAATTGAAAAGATCTTCTCAGTAAAGCAAGGACTAGAGAAGTTAAAGTCTATAACCAACAAACAGTATCAAGAAGTGTACAAGCTTGCTCAAGAATAGCACCCTTGGGAATCACGTGCATTAAATTAAGAAGCTGGCAAGCACAAGAGTACAAGGGGCTGGGAGATGGTAGAAGCCTTCTCATCTTCTCCCCTCCTCAGATACAAACATGGAAACCTGGCATTCCAGTTTGCAGCTATAGGTTTCTCCCCACCCCCATCCTCTAGAAAGTCTTTTTTGCTAGAGCATGAAATATACTGCTTTCCCAGATATATCCAAAAGACACCATTTTAATTTCTAAGACACAAAAGAGTATTAAGATGAAGAATATTAATTAAATATAACAGCAAAAACCTCTAGGAAAGTTGGGTTATAAAAATAAAGAATATCCATTTCAAGTCTCTTTTTCCCTTCACACTTCTTGCCGGTTTCCAATCAGAACCCCTTTAACCATCTAAGACATCTCCACCACCAATCCCCCTCACACCTCTGAAATAATTTAAGCCTAACCTCAGGTCACTATTAGTAGTGTTCATGAATTTACTCAGTAAAGAGTGGCCAGTCATTGTTAAAGCATGACTTGAGGACATTCATTTGTGATTTCGAACCAGGGTTCAAAAAGCTGAGGTTGCACTTTACTTATCTAGCACCCTTAACCACTGAAGCCATGGTTCACAATGTCATAAATCCTGCAAAAATACATATTAGAAAGAATCATAATGCAAATAGTTAAAACAGAGTTTTGAGACTATTTTCAGACAGTAACCCCTATTTTCCCCTGTAGCACAATACTAAGAATAACTGGGTATGGGGGAAATTTTGTGCTTCAAGTGAAAACTATGCATTTGCTGGAGCTACCCTTCCAGAAGTCCAGTCATTCATTGTCTTTGAGCTGTGCTACAGCTCTGTAAATCGTAGATAACTGACAGCAATGGAAAATTCTTGTCTAGACATGCAAAATCCTGGCTGGTAAAAGCTCAACTGACTTGCCTCCTCCACTGTGGAAGAAGCCAGGTTCATCTCCATTTGCACATTCATTTCAATATTCCTGATCAATAAGTGTGACTGTTCTTTGGACACTAGGGAAAGACTGCTCCTAATTGCAATAAATTTATGTGTCTAGTACATGTATGAAAACTCCTAATGAAGCTATCGTGTTGGGTTGTAAGTGTCTGGTAAATTTGAAATAATATACTGGTTAAAATTTCAGCAAAAGAAATATAAGCGAGCCATAAAGATTACCGGAAAAGTCAGCTCTTCAGAAAAGGTAAGATCCTAAGATTACAATCTAGGGGATTTCTTTCAAGTCCTATTTAACTCTATGCATTCAAGGATAATTACTTTGTACTTCTGCTCCACAAATAAAATAAATAAATGGGCTCACACAATGGTATTTTCTGTTAGGCAAACAGGATAGCACAGCATTTTGGGGTCTCCAGAATTAGTTAGACCAGATCTTTGGATTGTAAAAAATTACACAAGGAACTTGTTACAGTAATCTCATTAGTAGTTAGAAAGGCTTAATGCCTTTATCTTCTGAAGTAATAAAATCCCAGAATTAAAGGGATTTTCTTTTTAAAATCTAATTACTCCTATGCCTAGGCTGAAAACCAAAAAGTAAATAGCAGCCACTGCTTTGGCCCAAGAAGTCCCATAACCTCTGCTCAAAAAAACAATGTATCTTATATATTTCATAAGATATATAAATATTGAATCACTAGGCTGTACATCTGAAGCTAATATAACATTGTATGTCAACTATAATTAAAAAAGAAAAGAGAACAATGCCAAGATACTATGACTAATAAGCCTGTTCACACTCATCTCTTCCCCTTATTTCAGGAGTTCTGCCATTTGGCAAGCAGTACTTGAGAGTTTAAAAATCTCAGTTCTGCTGATTAGATGCCCTGAATTTACCTCTTAAAAGTTTTAAGTGGTTCAGACAGTTGTGAGAGCCATTGAATAAGTCCACATTCAACCAACTCATATTCTTCAAGATTTTTTTTTTTTAATTCTCATCTGAGGACATTATTTTCATTGCTTTTTAAAGAGAGATGCTGATAGCGGGAGAGCCTGCATCTCTGGATCAGAGAGATACAGGAACTCACTTGTATTTCCCCCTTCAATTTTGCTATGAACCTGAAAATATTCTAAAAAGTGAAGTCTATTTTTTTTTAAATCTTTTCATTAGAAAAAAATTGCAAAACCATTAGTCTAAAAGCCCAAAGGCCAAAACCAACCCTAAGGCCTATTTTTATATGGCTCTCTAGCTAAGAATGGTTATTATATTTAAAAAATTTTCTTGAAAATCTTTACCCAAGGACATTTTTATTGATTTCAGGGACAGGAAGGGAAAGAGGAAATGAAGAGAAAGGGATAAGGGGAGGGAGAGGGGGAAGAGAGAGGGAGAAGCGGAAGGGAGAGGGGTGGGACAAAGGGGAGAAGGGGAGGAGGAAGGGAGTGAGGGAAGGGGGCCAGGGGAGCGAGAGAAACAGAGGGGAGAGGGAGAGGGACATCAATGTGAGAAACATCAGATAGGTTGCCTGGGTTGCCTCCCACAGGCGTAGGTGCCCAACCAGAGATCAAACCCACATCCTAGGCATGTGCCCTGACCAGGAATCAAACCCACAACTTATGGGGCCATGCTCCAACTAACTGAGCAACCCAGCTGGGTAAGTTTTTATATTCTTATAAAGATTTATTAATAAACAAGAACATTTTACAAAAACCCCAAAGCCCAAAATATTTACCATCTAGCCCTAAGGTAGATTAGCCCAGCTACTAAAGCAATTAATACCTTTATGAGGATTCTGCCTGACATCCCTATATATTATGTGGTTTTTCCTACTAAGGCTTGTGGTGGATTCAAGCTGTTGAAAATTTCTGGAGCTAATCCTTTCAAGTAGTCTTTCCCTAGTCTCAGGCACTTTCCTCTCAATCACGTGTGGATTGAGGTACTCTTTTCTTTGGTTAGCTATCCCACAAATTCTAGAAACCCTGGCCTTCCACAACTTTCATTTCTGTTTTACCTTACTCAGTGACACCACCAGATCATTCTGGGGTGCCCCCATCCAGTGCCTGAAAACGGCCCACAGGCAGTAAGCTATGGGCCTGGAGAGCTCACCACTTGGTTTTCTCTCTGTCAGGAATCACTGTCCTGTGCTTTTTCCCATTATCTAAAAAACCACAGTTTCATACATTTTATCTGGTTTTCTAGTTTATTAATGAAGGAACATACATACATTCTCTGTTATGCCATCTGGGCTAGGAGTAGAAATTTCCTCTTATTTTGATTATTTTTGTTCTGAGAAATAGTTATTTCCTATCAAAATAAGGTTATGTTAATCACATAATGAATTTGTTTTTAAATGAGGAAATAAATAATTTTGAAATTTCTTGGTCTTAATATTCCTTTGACCCATGAGTTATTTGGAAGTATGTTGCTCAGTTTCCAAATACCTGGCAGTTTTGTTATTGATTTCTAATTTAATTCTATTGTGGTCATGTTACAGTAGGCAGTTAGTTATCAGATATTCACAAAAAGGAAAAGAGCAAACCAGGCATCTGATTAAGCCAGATTAACTAGAAAAGGACAGTTTCACTGTCATTCCAGGAAGACACCCCAGGGAATAACGGGCACCATTCCTTCAGATTAATGAGGGGAGAAAGAAAATGGTGATGGGAAGTTCCTTTCACTGAGTGCATGCTCAGGAGAAGCCAAAATTACGTCTATAAGGGGTTAGGGGACCAGCCTGGGAAAATCTGGGGGAAGATCAGATGGATATGTTAAGGGCATGAAATCCTGGAAGAGCCAGGAAAGGGACTGGATGGGGGAAGACACACCACAGCCCTGGGAAAAGCCAGGAAAGAGATTAGAGATGGAATAGTTTGAAAGAAAGCCTGCCCTTTTCTGAACCCAAGGAAACATACAAAAGCTAGACAAAGAATCCAGCACAAGCCCTCCTTGGAGCTGCCCATGCCCTTCTCCGGGGCTTGTGCCTTTTGTCTTCTTTTGTCCTAAACTCTAAGGGTCCCCACAAGACTTGCAACCAGGGGAGCAGTGAGCAGTAGCAGAGAACTCTTCTTTTACTTCTATCCACAAGCTACTACCATATAGCCTGCCTGCTCTCTACCTTTCTGAAGGCATACAATCTAGTTTCACTCTACTAAATCATGCCAATATGGCTTAAAATCCTCTGACATGTGCAACCCTGAAGTTATTTTCCTGCAACAGCACAGAAGAATCCTATTTCCAAACTATGCCAGGCAGACCCTCCCTGCTCCTGGTTCTTCTCTGGTAACAGCCAGAGAACATACTTTGTATACTGAGTGAATACACAGAATGAACCTTCTGCAGATTCCTAGGGCTCTCTCTCTGTGCTAGTCTCTCCTCTCCTGCACTGTCCTGCCAACTCCAGTGCCTTCAGTTTCCCTGGTATCTTAGATCTGTATCCTTAATTCAGAGTCTACCAAGCTCTGCCTGGGATCCCCCTGCCTGCACCACAACCTAGAAACTCTATTACAGGGCTCATCTCATTTTTTCCCTATCTTGTAGATATTCCTGTCCTTTGTTACCTAATATCCAGTGTACCAAAAACCACTGTTTCATACATTTTGTCCATTTATGTTGGATGTCTCTGGGGGAGAGTATATCAGGTCCCTGTTACTCTACTTGACCAGAAGTCTAAGTCCTATACATTTTAATTTGTAATATGGTATATAGCAGCAGATATAACCCATATAAACAAAAGCTCTTTTGTGTCCTTGACAATTTTTAATACTGTAAAGAGGCTTGAAAAACTGAGAACTGTTGCTGTAGACGTTGGAACTCGCCAGGGCTTAGGACTAGGCTCTGTCCCTATAGCAGTCTTCTTCCCAGTACTCTTCTCCTTAACTACTACCTGTGCTCTTAGCCTTAACTACTACCTGTAAGCACATGATGTCTGTTTGGTTAGGCAG